AAAAAGGAGAAAGTACTTTCTGAGTGACCCTTACATGGCATAACTGAGGCCATCTTGTACGAGTCAGGGCTCCAGAATCTCCAGCCCTTAAAATACTAACAAAACAAATTTGCTGCCATTCACAGAGTTCTTGTCTCTTTGCTGCCCAAGTCATCAGCAATGCCTGATTGTCTGGTATAAAAGGATTAAAGAAATTAAGAAATGATCACTTGGGCACTGTCCAAACACCACATATGATTCTATGCCAGTAACGCAAGAAGAGGGAAGGTCAGAATTTGCTTCCTTTCCCCATATTGTTTATATGGGTTAAGTCACTACAAGGTGTTGATAAAAATTATTGTTATGACAAAGAGGACGTAGAAAAGATTTTCACTTCATGTACAGACAGACAAGCTTCTTTGGGTAGATGCGATATCTTTTATTAGACCAACTAAAGAGCTGGAAAAAAATTATTTGCAAGCTTTCGGTCACAAACACCCTTCTTCAGGCCTGAAGAAGAGACTATGAGCCCAAAAGCTTGCAAAGAACAATGTTTTAGTTGGTCTAATAAAAAGTTTCACATGTATGCAAAGAACCTTGTCTGCCTATGTCCTTAGGCCAACACGGCTAGAATCAACAACCGCCCTCACTTCATGTAACACATGGTTCTCTTCTCACTAAAAGACTGGGGCATAATGGTGCAACAAAACTAAACCAAATACACTTACTGTGGAATTTTTTGGACAATCTGTTAAGAAGAATATTCATTGCGCCATAGAGTTCTTTTCAGTATCCCTTCTTCTCAACTGGGCAGATCAACCCCACCCCCCTCCAAACAAAAACCATCAACTGTCTTCAAGCAGAAGAAATGATCAAGGAGATGTGTGCATACACAGAAAGGCCTGCCAGAGCCTGAGCCTTGACATCTTTTGGAACTGGTGTAAAATTTTATTTGGACAGGCATTCAACAAACAAAGCTAGGCTGAGGTGTTGTTTAGTAGTCTCTGTTTTATCTGGATATTCTAGTCCCTTTTACATTGCATTGTTCTCTTGTCATGCTCCTCTTTTAAGTTATTTGGAACTCTTATTTTAAGCTACCTCGAGCCTTTGTTGGACAGGGCGGCATATACATAAAATGAATGAATGAATATGTAGAGACCAATGAGCACAAAGAGACTCTCTCACTCGCATCTCTCACCTCCTGAAGAACGGGGTTAACAATTGGTTTTGTGAGCCCTAAAGAGATGTTGCTTTTAAAGAGTCCTTTACAGTAATTGAACCCAATCCTGGAGAAACATAACAAAGGAAGGTAACTCCTTAAAATGCATCCCTTAATTACAAGTATTTTTTAGAAAAATCAATATTTGGTTTTATTCTGTGAACGGCACTGAACTAGCTGTCTCCAGTTCAACTGAATTTCACTTGACTTTATTAGAGATATAGTTTCAACATATTCTCCAATTACCTTTAACCACCACAGAGACCAAATTTTAAATTCCCATGATCCTTTGCAACTGATCCACCTCAAAGAGGACAGATCCATTATTTCAGTGACCGGCTGTAATTACTTAAAGATTCTTTTAATACCACTTTGAACTGTGTACAAAAGCTACATTTAGAGATGTACCTTTCAATTAAAAGTTTGGAGAAAAATGAAATGTGCTACAATTAAGATTTTTTTCTCCTGCTGGCTTTGTGAGAAAGCTGAAACAAGGCTTGTCTGCAGGAAAGCCAAGACCTCATCACCTGGGCCTTGTATGTATGGATCTCAAATGTGCTACTTGCTACTTAGATGACGCAATATCTCACTCTCCTGGTTGTGGGCAATTTTTGTGTTTTTTCAAAGCCCATTTCTAAACTGCTAATTGGTGTTTAACAACCCATTTGTTCTGCTCATGGATTTTACACTTTTTTCTTTATATTTTTAATTAAACATACACTTGTTTACATATTTTGCTAGTATTAAATTATAACAGAATAGGACTAAGGAACTCTTCTATCCCTGTACGCTGATTTATTCTAAGGACACTGCATTACGCAAGCTCTTTTATACCAGGGAGAAACAGGTGACAATGGCCAGACTATTTTTTTCTTTAAAAGAAATCTTCGGTCACACTAGACTTCTACAGCTGTGAGTGCTGTCAACTCTCTGAACTCTTGTCTGTTCCTTGGAAATGTGACGCTTTGGAGCCTGCTCCACCGTGGGTTCATGTCAATGTAAAAACACCCCTCAACTTCAATGTGCATTGAACCAGGCTCTGAACTCATGAGGGAAGGAAAGATGCATAGACACAGCTAGTGGAAATGAGAGTTCACTGTCCCCATCCACGAGCACACATACAAATGCACTGATCCAGCAAAATCCTACTTGCCCACTCACCCAGTGGAAGAAGTGATGCTCCTCGACTAACAATCTGAACAATGTTCCCACAAGTCAGGCTATATTGGGAAGTGAGCAGCAAACTAAATTCCTTCAGTTCTTTTTAGTCTTACTTTCCTTCCCTGAGAAGAGCCTTCCCCAGTTCCAGCTCTCTATTCAAAAAGGCATCATTTTGCAAGATCCGTCATCCCAGATATCCCAGTCAAGCCACATTTCTCTGATATCATTGGAAGCCAATGTGTCTGGGATGTTGTCATATACTGATTGCCAGAGAACTTCACAGAACAGAAAAACGGGTGACATTCCTTTACCAAAACCACAAAATTACTGAAAAAATGCCGTGATGTGATTCTCAAATAATCCTCATAGGACGTTGGGGCGGCTGCTAATTCAACCAGGTTTAGAAGGGAATTAGAGAAACTCATGGAGGCCAGATCCACCAGTACATATAAATATAATAGTTAGAGATACACCCTCAAACTTGGGACTTCCTATGCCTCTGACTGCTGGTAGCTGCATAGGCCCTGCTTCACTGCTCTTCCCGTTACCATCTAGTCTTTGCCACTGTGAGAGACACTGTGGTCTAAGTATGATAGCTCTCATGTTCTACTGTTCTTAATTCTTAGCATTTTACAAAATAAATATTTAGTCCTGCCTATTCACTGCAAAAGAACTATTCCTACTTTCAATTGTATATCTTGCCTTATTTTTTAATTCACCTAAATATTTCTGCTCTTAGGGGATCTTCAAGTCCACATCCAAAAAGCAATAAGATAAATCAAAGTGTGTCATCTAAATTGCTCCAAACATGGCACGGTGTTCAATATAACTCCAGATCTTAATTTTGTGTTTTCAGCTCAAGCTCAGGTAAAAATAATTAAACCAAAAACAAGAACAAAAAACCCTGAGACTGCATTTGTTCACAAAACCTCATCTTCTTTCACTGGTTGTGGGATTAATTTTTTTTAACAGATTCAGTAACTGGCAACAGAAAACATGTGAGAAGGGGGCAGCAGAGAAGTTCTTAAAGTATATGGAAAAGATAGAAACACACTAGAATAAAAAAAGGGGGGTAATTGATTTTCACTCTTTTGGGATGACCAATAACTCACATATTACTCTGCTTCACTTCACCACTCAAAAAGTATGTCCTCATCATTACCTTGTGAGAATGAAAAGTATTACTTCACCCTTTCCCCATCTGAAATCCTTCATAGATCAATACCTTCCAATTTTCTTCCATCTCATAGTTCTGATCTTTTGCCTCATGTACCTTCACTCTCTTTCCCTCCTTTTCCTTGCATTTTGCTACACAGCCAGAAATTAATTTGATTTCTGCTTCCCGAAAGTTTTCCAGAGTCATAATTTCTTTTAAAATCTCTTTATCTACTTTCTTTTTTTTATAGTGATGACAGCCACATATGGAAAGAAAAGAGACACAAAGGGATCAAAGTATTGTATTACTCCTCTCTTGCAAGCTACAGACCTGGCTCTATTCAGTTACTACTTTAGTCTTTTTTTATCGTGATATTTAATAGAAATGTAACACTTTGAAAGAAAAAAAATATGTTGCTAATTAAATGTGTTATCTTCTAAATTATATTAATTCTGCCTTTCTTGTTACCTCTTCAGTATTTTGGAAAGATAGCATCTGACAGAGAGAAAATGAATGCCAACCATTATTACATAAAGTTTGTATGTAGGAGTAACCCATTTCAAATGTAAAGGAAAATAATTTGAGGACCCAGCGCTATTTGGTGAGTTCAAACCAGATTGTCATATGACACTTTGCTGACATAGAAGCAAATGTGGATTTCTGTTTATATAACAAGGAAGAATTTGGTCTTACTTAATGAACAATTTCACCAAAAACATCACTGCTATGGTTTCTGAAGCCCAGTCTGCAGTCTTGGAGAGATGGAGTAAAATTTCCTTCTGTCAAAATTTAAACAATATAACCCATCCAAACTGTTTTAAATGGAACAGCAGCACATGCCCTCTGCACCCCCCAACAAATCATCCATATACATACACACAGAAGAAAAAAAAAACCCAACACAGATTATTTTGTCTGTTTTAACTACAATGAAATCAGCCATTAACACATCAAATGCCAAACAAATTGTGCACGTGTTGACATGCGTGTGTGTATGCGTAAAGGCGGAAAGTTCCACTTTTACAGAACTGTGCTAAGTTAAGACAGCTGAGGATCTACCATATGATAGTTGCAAAAAACAGCTTCTTCTGAGCTGCGATTCATGGGAATGCTCACAAAATCAAAGAAAAATACAGTGGATGGAAAAATATATTTAAACAAACAATATTGTTGGTAGATCTGATGATATGAGCAAGGACTTGGATGTCTAGACAGTGGCTCAGGTTTATCACTGAAAATTCATTCCTATTTGCATTTATTTTGAGAGTAAGCCATAAAGAAAATGTTCTGCACAGCATAAAACTTCCCCTTTTAATACAGAGCAGTTAATCATGGAGGGTCTCACGAATGGGTCTTTAGTCACACAACCACCCACATTTGATAAATCATATAAAAATACCTATAAATAGCACAGAATGCCTGGGGGCAACAGAATGAAAAATAGCTTCAGGGATGCTACAAGCAAGGCGTACCAGAGACCCTTACCTGCTCTGCTGTCCAGGGGTCCAAAATCCAAAGAATACTTCACCACATGATAGTTGTTCCATACATAAAGGAGGTTGTCCCTGGGATTATAATCCACAGCAGCAATGTACTGATATGAGTTTGGAAAGGGAACATCCACCATACTATCCTTGCTTTGGTCAGTGTTGTAAATGTAGTCTATTTTATTCCCTGTGGCTTCGTTGTCATCGTCCTCATACACAGACTTCACCACGTATAGAATCCCACAAATCATGAAAGCATTGGAAGCTGACCGTTTGTCATATGCTGTATCCCATGTCCCTTCAATCCTTAACGTGTAAGGGTTTAACTGGCTAATGACAATTTTGCCATTGTTTTGTTCTGTTGCATAGATTACCCACAGGCCATTCTCATCCACAGCCAGGTCTATATCAGACTTGCCCCCCCATCGATAGGGGGAAGTGTCATGGTAATTAGCATTTGCTATAATAGCTTCTCCACTCTTTATCCTTGTCCGTAAGTCAAACTTGACTATGTTCCTGGTTCGCTCCTTGTTGAAGAATAAAGCCCCATCATATACCACAAATCCTGTGCCGTCTACCCGGTGAGGGAGCTTGTATGTCGTAGTGGGTCTCCCAGCAATGAAATCATCCTTGGAAGAGTACTCTGTCAAGGTGTCAGTTCTGTACGGGGTCCAAGGCATGTAGTAGATCTTGTCAGAAGCCTGAAGAGGATCCTTGCACCATGCCCCAGACTGGTGGTCTGACTCAAATAAATGTTCACTCTGGTATACGCCTTTTAGTAGTCCAGGACAAAGAAAAACTGTTGGAGGGAAAAAGAGTTAAAAACAAAACAAAAAAAGAGAAAGTTAATGATAGTCCTACTGGTCTGGAATGAACTTGTAATAGTTCACACTTCTACAGTGGAGTATGATCAAGATCAAAAGGAACCCCACAATACATTTTCTGTAATTGTAGATTATCCTGTCTAGAACAGGGCATGCTCCTTCATATTGATTTTTGCTATCTTCACTATGAGCATTAGTTCATTTTCTTATAGCTTTTGGAATCTATTTTTACTGGTGTACTTACTTGGACCATTCATCTTTATAAACTCTGAAATTAATAGGTATTCCCAAAGGGTGCATGTGTTTATATTTTCAGTTTATATTGTACTGTAGATCTATACCTAGTAGGTGAATGGGGTATATTCCTGGGAAACTGTTCCACATATTTACTTTGAATAGCCTGCTGAAGTATGCCCTAGAAATGGAAATAATAAAATAAAGTAAAATAAAAAAAAAATCCCACCCTTACAGCGCAGGTGAATTTAAATATTTAAAAGGTACTATAGCAAAGCAGAGGCAAATCCCTCAGCAACTCAAAAGAACATGTAAAACAAATGGGGGGGAGGGACAAATACCCTACTATAGGCCAATAGCATAACTAGCAATAAAGCTTTCAGAGGTCTACACAACACACAGAACATGCAGTCCACACAATTAAAAATGAATGATGGGTGAATACTGAAAGGAAAAAGCAGAAGGTAAGGAAGGAAGAAAGGAAAGAGGAAGGAAAAGAAACAAGTTCACTGGAGAGGAACCCAAGGTCTAGATTTTAATCAGTTAAAATGTCCTGTTAAATATAGTAGTATTTACATTTAAAAACATGTACCTTCTATTGTTAAATGAGAAGAGCATATAGTAACATTTGACTAGCTGTGGTGCTTTGCTGCTCAGACTTCAGAATTGGGGAAGGAAAGGGTTTAGATGGTGCACTTGAGTTTGAGTGTGGTATGCTGCATGCACAGAGGCAGGGAGAAGACTTGCTCTATGCTTTGTGGCTGTAAGAACTGAAAGAACACTCATCTTTCCTGTGACTGATAAGGTGAGAGATTACTGGGCATTATGACATAGTGCAAAGAAGAACGGCCAGAGCACAGCCAGGTGAAAGGTAAAATGGCTACAGAATGACACAGTGAGCCACTGTGCAGTACAGTTTCTATTCCCCCATGATACGTAAAAAATAACTCATATACCATAGTTATGCATATCGATTAAGGGAAGAAACTACTGCAAATACAGGGGGACTCTTGTACCAGGAGTGCTGTGGATCTTATTTATTAAAACAAACTGAAGTAAAAAAAAACCAAAAAAACCTTTTTTTTTAAATTATTGATTCAAAGCAAGAGGGTAGTGGGTGGATATCTGAGCTTGTGCGGATCCAACTGGAAAACCAGCCTA